CCCCAAAACCCCAAAACCCCAAAACCCCAAAACCCCAACTACAGAGCAAATGTTGACACTCACCCTATGTTCATAAATTTAAAGTTTAGTGAACTGATAAATAAAATTAGGCGAATTAAGGATCACTGAAGGATTCAAAATCATCAAGATACTCATCTTCAACTTCAATAGCTTGGTGATCAGTTGCATCAAATCCAAAGTCATTGATGTTGATTTCAGGACCTTTGTTCTTTTTCTTCTTTTTCATTCCCATAACTACTCCAGGGTTGTCCTCATCACTATTTTGAGGACTGAATTGCTTGTTCATCATCTCTCTTGCATTTGAAGATTTGTTGAGTTCTCTCTTGTTTATCTCCCTTTTCATTGAGCTAGCTATGGAGTTCTCAATATATTTCTTGTCTTGAGGTGCAGCATTTGGGAAATTTAACAAAGCTTCTGAGAGATATCTTGAGCAATAAGAAATTGTTGATTTCTTTGCTTCGATAGCATTAAGCATATGATCATAGATTAGCTCATATAAATTTGCACAACCCTTATCCTGTATCAACCTTCGAATTTCTTCTGAAGTGATGTTATTATTATCTTCATCAAGATCATCAGGATGAATATTTTCATTTCCCCTGGTTCTCAACAGCTGCATAAGTAGTCCACAGGCTACTTCAACGCTAAGGGTCTTTCCAGCTTTATTCTTCAGGTTAATTTCATAAACATGCTCTCAAATCTTCTCACTCATAGATGGATCGTCGCACTCGTCAAGGTTATATAACTTATTCTTGCTCTTGGCCTTGGTCATGTTTTCCTCAATAAACTTCACAAGGATCTGTGAGTACTTGTACCTTTCAGCATCAGTAGCTTGCTGGATGATGACCAGTCCTTTTCTTCCTTCCTTTGTCCTGACCATTTGTTTTGCATTTTTGGACTTCTTTTTGGATTCTTCCTTTTTGCCTAAAGATTAGATAGAAAGAGTACTTGGTTTCTCAAGGTCTTGATCATCAATTTCGATTTTTCCAAAATGTTTTGATCTGTTTTTAGCGTCTTGTTCGAGACATTTCATGATTATTTTGGTAACGAGATGTTCAAACTTTTCATCAACAAGACATCTAGAAAGATTCCTGCATAAGTTGAGTTTCGTGTTTTGGTCGAAGTTCAAGTAGCCATCGTCAATAAGTCTGATGTAGATCTTTGTGAATAGGTCTTTAGCATATGGTGAAGTCATGTATTTCGTGATTTCAGGAAGAGTACAGTTCTGAGATTTGCTGAATTTGCCAGAGTCTGAAGTGAATTTTACCTGAGAGAAATTTGACTCTTTCTCAGATAACATGATACATACAAGCAGTTTCATGCAGTTTTCAACATGAGCTGTTTTTGAATTCCTCTGCCATGTGTCTCCTCCATCATAAATTTCTGAATAGAGCTGGGAAATATAAATGTCAAAGTTGAATAGGTTTCCGCTTTCAAATTCTTTGAAAGTATCGATAAAATTAAACAAATTCTTCACAATAGAGTTCTTCTTCGCAGGTTCTGTCCTCCTAATATATTCGAAGAGCTCTGGGATTTCACCTTCTGTGACTTCACTGCCTTCTCCTTCTTCATAAAATGATGTCTGGAGGGATGAGTCTATTCCAGCAACTTCTATTTCATTTACTCTTTGTGGGTCATTTTGATCCTTTTTCTCCAATTCAATTCTAGCTCTTTGCAGGATTCTGCTTAGTTCTCCATATTTGCCAGCAACAATCTTCTTTTTAGTAACCTTTACTTGCTTCGGCTTTGGCTTTTTGGTATTTCTTTCATTAAATATATCTCTTGCTCTTTGAAGAAGAGAGCTTAGTTTGCCATATTTATGCTTAACTTTAGGAGTGCTTCTAGGTGTTACTCTCTTGAGTTTCTGTCCTTGTCTAAAGGATCCTTGGAATCCTCCAAAATTGTCTTCAGTTTCATCTTCATCTTCAGAATCACCTTCATCTTCAATAGTTTTTCCATAAGAAGGTCTTGACTGAGTCCTGGAGCTCTTCATCAATGATTTCCTCTGATAATTCATTTGTTGGTTATCTTTATTATCATTCTTTGCTTTTTCAGCTTTCTCTTTGTCAGCTTTAGCTTTATCAGCTTTAGCTTTATCAGCCTTAGCTTTATCAGCCTTAGCTTTCTCAGCCTTAGCCTTCTCAGCCTTAGCCTTCTCAGCTTCTTTCTTAGCCTTGAGCATATCTTCTTTTCTCTGATTCTCTTCACGAAGTTTATCTTCAAGAGCTTTTCTTTTCTCTTCACGCTCCTTTTCTTCTTGCTTGCGCTTTCGTTCCTTTTCTTCAGCTTCTAGTCTTAATTTCTGGGCTTTCTCTTCTTGTTCTTTAATCCTTTGTTTTTCTCTTGCAAGTTTATCCTTTTTGAATTTATCTTGGCGTTCAAGTTCAGCTTGCTTCTCCTTCTCTTCACGATCTTGCTTGCGCTTGTTATAGGATTCTTGTCTTTTGAGCTTCTTCTCTTCAAGCCTTCTCAGCAGGTCATCTTCACTTCTGTTGGATTCTCTCCGTTCTTCCAGGAAATTCTTGCTAGGAGAGGAATCTTCCTTATCTTCATCTTTGATGACAGGATCTTTGTGTTCTTCCTTAGGGTATTTATGGGTTTTATGTCTGGTGTCTCTTTTTGGAGGAAGCTTCTTGCTCTCCTCTTCTTCCTCCTCTTCTTCAGAGTACTCATCTTCGTATTCTTGTTTTCCGCCAATAGTAACTTCTTTAGCTGGATGTTCTCTTTGATCTCCACCATGAAGAGCTTTGAACAGATTGGCATCGTTTTCTTTCTGTCTTTCTCTGAGTAAAGTTTCTCGAATTTCTGAGTATTTTTGAAGCTGATAGATATCATATTTGGTATCTTTAATCTGATGGTCAAGTTCTTGATCGACACCATCTGCATAAGTTTGAATTTGTGTCTTGCGTTGCTCAAGACGATTAAGTTCCATTTGTTTCTTAGCTCTGAGCTTGTCCTTCCACCTAGGATCAAATTGATGAAGATCTCTCATAAATTTTAGTTTGTCATTGATAAGATCTTTCCTTGATAAAATAGCTGCTTTTCTATGTTCATTAATATTAACCTTGTCATTGGCGAGTTTGAGCTTCCTTTCATTTTCTATTCTGGTCTTAGCAAGAGATTCTTCAAGGAAGTCAAGCTCACGCTCAAGTTCCTTTTTCCTCACCTCTTTGAATTTTTCAGTATTATTTTTCCTTAGCTTCTATCTTCCTAGTGAACATTTCTATCCGAGACTGCATTTCCTTATGATACTGATCAAAAGCACGCATTTGATTATGAAACTCGATTCCTCCCGATGCATAAGTCTGCTTATAACCCTCCCGTGTCCCCATAGGCTCTTGGCGGCTAGATAGTTCACTCATTTAAATTAATTTAAATTTCTATACAATTCTCCCCAAACGGGGTTTTGGGGTTTTGGGGTTTTGGGGTTTTGGGG